TAGGTTAGACATCCATAAGAACTACTTCACTGTCAGGGCGGCTAGGATCTGGAACCAACTTCCAAGGGAAGTGGTGCTGGCTCCTACCCTGAGGAGGATGCCTACCTGGCTGGAGTCATCTGAGCCCAGTTTTTCTCCTGCCAAGGCAGGGGGTCGGACTTGAAGATCTACAAGGTCCCTCCTGAACCGACTTCTATGATTCTGTGAAAAGCAGCATATCATCCCCTCCCCACTCCACCCCGTTTCTGTTTGCTCAGCATCCCATACATTTTTCCATTTGTCCAGTTTGAAAATAAATCAAAGCTGTCACTGCTGAAATGGGTCATATCCATATAAATACAAAGACCCACACTCATGTGGTTACAACATGCTGGTGCTCATGAATCATGATTGAAACTTCCAGGCATTGCCTGGAAGTTCTTGCAAGCTTAGTGCTGTTAAAGGTCCTGGTCTGTGAACTGTTTATGAACAGACAAGCTGCAGAGCAGAGCAAATTAATTGTTGGTGAACCCATCAAATCTTCATGCTGTAAGTCAGATCCTGGTTCTGTCCCCACACACTTTCATGGTGGTGGCAATGAGGAGCTATAAGCCAAATCTGCCCTGCACTCAGCCAGTTACAGGACTTAAGATGAAACATTCAAAATGAAGTCCAGGTAGCAGAGAAGATGGCCTGACCCATAGGAGGTACCATGGGTGCCTGTGACATAGGTAATGTGTAAGTCACAGGACCCAATGTTGCGTAGGTGCAACATTGTTGTGGAGTCCCCATCCTCAAAAGGTTTTGAGAACAGATTGAACAAATGCTTGTCTGGGGTGGTTTAGACCAGTGGGGTCCAACCTTTTTGGCACGTGCCACAAACTGGCCTGGCATCCTCCCTGAGTGACCTTTCAGTCCCCTTCCTCTGCCTGATCTGCTACTTTGCTTTCTGCTCCCAGCTCTGTGCTCCCTGCCTGATTAGCTGCTCTGCTTTCTACTTCCTTCCCTGTGCTCCCTGCCCAACTTGCTGCCTTGCTTTCTGCTTCATGCCCAGTCTACTGCTGTGTTACCTGTCTCCTCCTTGATCTCTCATATGCCACAAACAGAGGCTGCCCATGCCACTTGTGGCAACTGTGTTGCAGGCTGTCCCTCCCTGGTTTAGATGAATGTTCCTGCCTTGAATGAGTGGGTTGGACTACATGACTTAAGGGTCCTTTCAGCTTTATTTTTCTATAATTCTATCAAAGTTTATTTCTACGCAATAGAAGCCTGCTCCAAACCAAACAAAATGAATAGGAGTTCTTTCCATTAATCTCAGTGGGCTTTGGATCAGATTGGAATGGGTTACTGTGTGTTTCCTGTCTGTTTCCTGTCTCCATCCATTGTTTTTATTGTGTAATATTAGAGATGAAAGCCTCTACATGGAGCCAAGCAGTGTTTTCAGTGAAGGCCTGATTCTCATTTCCACACAGGCCACTTCACACTATTCTGGTAGTACAGAGCAGCCAGACAGTGGGAGTAAGTGACATATATGCTCTTTATAAGCCCCCTTTCCACTGCCAGAGCTTTACGAATTTGGAATGAGGATTGTGCCTGATGTTTTCTGTGCCCTGTCAAACTCATAATAAGCTGTCTCCTCTGTGAATTGGGAATAGATATTTTCTAGCTTCTTTGCCTTGTCAATAGGCTCGCCTGTCCTAGAACCAGAAAACAAACACCATCTTCAGCCTCGTGGAGCTGTTTGGTTTAAATGACCTGCCAAGAGTGTCTGACTGCAATTAAGTCAAGATGTATCTGAGTGCATCAAAGCCTTATTAGGAGAAACATCAGAGACAGAAAATGGAAGTGGCAGCAAGTCTGCTTGCACTGCAGGCGTGCTCAGAGGCTCAATGCTGCAGCTGTGCAAAAGGAGAAGCTCTTTAAGATCCCCTAGTATCCAGAGTGCAAAGGTACCCCTTGTGGGAATGTCTATGGGGCCAATCTGACCCTAATCAATGGGACTAAGGCATCTCTATGGTGAAAAAAAATTGGAAGGGTAGGCTAAATCTAGGGCAAAGTTACACATTACACTTAGATCATACTAAATCCATGGATGCTAAGTAGCATTAAAGGTAAAATATGCTGTGAGAAGTTGCATGTTAAGAGTTAATATTGTTTCTTGCCTGCACCGCTCTGACTTTCCACTAGAGGGCTGAGGATCAGGGGCATACATAGGAGCCAAGACACCTGGGCTCTATCCCTGCTCTGGGTGGGGCGGGGAGTGGGCAGTGGCACGGAGAGCAGTGTGTCCTGGGATGCTGGAGGACTGCAAATTGCTTGTTTTATCTCCATGGAACAGACTAAAGTTACCCTAACATGAGCTAGGTAGTATGGTTCAGAGTTAACCCTTGCCTGAAGTGACTTAACTTTGAGATGTTCAGAGGGCACTTAGCATGAGTTACTGATCTTAACGTGCTCATGTATTTAAGTGCCCTTAATATGGGCTAAGTTTAACATGTAACTTCACCCCAAGGGTGCTGACCCCAGGCCAAGCAAAGTAATTTATTCTGCATAAGTATTCTCTTGTGCAGAAGGCTGGGAAGGTGAGAGAAGGAGTCTAGCCCCGTGCCAGATATCTGGGCTATAGGGAGCTGCAGGAAGCAGAGTTGTTCAGTGATCAGTCAGTGCCAAGGAATTCCACAACTGTCTGCTTAATTCAGTATCTGAGCTCTAAGTGATGAGCGTTTGCACAACACACCAAGCTGTTCCAGCCATACCCAAAAGCCAAACCCCATTTCAGTACACTCAGTGAAACTGTGGCACTTGTTTCATTTGGGCTGGCATTGGCCCTGTGTGGTGTTTGTGACCTCGTTGGGACTTTCTGCATTGGACTGACTTCTGGTCAAGGTCAAACATTCATCCAAGGTGAGCAAAGCTAAGATCCACCAGTTTCCAGAGCCAGTGGCACAAAAGAGAATGATACGGCCAGCATTGCATCCAGCTGCCTTTGACTCCCCAGCCAGAAAGACTAGGTACCCATTCACAGCTGGGTTAGCAGAAGAAGGCCTTTGGCATCCATTTGGACGCAGGCTCAAACTTCTACCTCAAGCACCCTCCTTGGACTGACACGCCAACCATGATCCAACACAGCAGGGATGGTACTGCTATACAAGTTCTATCTCAGTATAGCAGGGATCTTACTTTCAGGCAACTGGGATATATTTGTCAGCCTCATCTTCGCAGTTCATCATATCTCTAAAGATGTCAGGAGGTCAATGTTCCAAAAAAATCTGACCCTGAAGCAGAAAGATTTCCAAATAGTAGGCAATCAGGTGATCCCTGAACTTACCTGAGAACAATATTAAGTTGTCTGAAGTTATTTTCAACTGCAAAAAACCCTTCTTTTTTCATCTGACTTGTGTGTAACAGTATGAGACATTTCAGACATCCATGGTGTAAGCAATGAGGTCAGGGTAGGGGGATGAAAAGGAGAAGCTCACACAAGCCATAAGAATGTATCTTCATTACCAAGTGTCAGCACGGTAACTAAAAATAGAACCGCATTGTTGACATTCGAATACATGGAGGACTGGCTGCCAGGAATGAGCCTGCTGGAACAAACAAGACAGACAGAATTAGAGAGAAAGGAAAACAGTCCATGAGCAGAATACAGGGCATCCTAGACAGGGTGCAAAGGGTATGTCTGTGCAGCATGCTGCAGGAAGGGCTATGAGTACCCAAGCTAGGTTGGTTATTGGCCACATTAGCACAGCACTCTGCTGTTCTTTTTGTAGGAGCTATCCCACTAATGGTATCTACACTAGCTTGTTCTGACCAGGTTATCCAGAGAGATTGTGGAATCTCCATCCTTGGAGGTTTTTAAGACCTGGCTAGACAAAGCCTTGGCTGGGATGATCCATTTGGGGACAGTCCTGCTTTGAGCAGGGGTTTAGACTAGATGACCTCCTGACATCCCTTCCAACCCTAATTTTCTATGATTCTAACTCAGTATCACTGCATGGCATTGCGAGGGGATGTACCCCCAGAGGTTCACTTTCTTTCTAATTTCTGCCAACTTAGCTTCCCTGGAAAGGGTCTGATGATATGAGCCCTCCCCTCCCCTCATCCCCACTGGGGATGGGGTGCATAATTGGAGCACTAGGAGTCCCTTCCAGTTGATTTTTTTTTTTTTTTGCCCTTCAAGGGATTGATTAGACATTGTGATGTCTTGGGACAGGCTTGGGACAAAATGCCTCCAGCTCCCAGCCAGCTAGTATCTACTCTGCTAAACTCAATAAATCCAAGCTATTCCCAACTTCTAGAAAGTACAAAGGTGCAGGCAATGTGCAAAGTGGGCAGGAAAGTAGGTCTCTAGAACAGCACCTGTACCAGACTGCAGGTGTACAGGGTGTAACAAAGAGGATGAGAGAGAATGAGGGACCCAAGGAATCTTGGAGAACATCCATAAGCCGAGTCTGAGTTGCTGAGCACTGTCAGCTCCTGGTGGCCTGCTGCCAACCTCATGCAAATGCAAGGTGAAACTCACACTGACTTTAGTGGCAGCGGTGCCAGACTCACAGAACTGAATGTGCATGGAAGTGTGCACAGCTTCCAATAATGCACTCTGAGTATCTGAAGCCCCAGACTGAAGAGGCTGAGAGGTAAGATACTTGCCAGTGGCAGAGCCACACAGACTTGAAGAATTGCACTTTGCTCAGTCAATAAAATTCGGAACTAATTTGGCTGATTTGGCTCAAGACATGAAATTTCAGGGGGAAAAAAACGGGTAGACTCAAACAGATGTGCTAGTAACAGAAGTAGTGTGGTGGTGTCAGCAGCATAGGCCTAAAACCCACCACTGTTGTGGGGTTTGGAGAGCATGCAAATTACCCATTATTTTGCATAAATCTTCACTGTTGATATTTTAGAGCTCTGTTTTTTCAGTGTGGTATTGATTGGAATAGTGAATTTATATTTGACTGAATGGAGATCTGATTACTGCTGACGTACAATAATTTATTCTTGTTTTTTCTTGAACACAGATCTGTGGGATGATTTTGACCTGTTTTCTGCACAGAAGACTTAAAATGGAATCCTACTGAAGAACAAAAGGGGTCCTATCAGTTTGCTTTCCTGTTAATGCACAACATAAACCTGGAAAGTATTAGCATGGGCCAGCATCGGTATTGCTTGCTCATGATTATTAGGTGATATGTCTGTTTGCTCAGTTCCTACTTTCCTAGTGATTTTGGTATGCCTTAAATTTGATATGCCTTAAATTGAGATTTAGCACAGTTATAGCTTGCAGTTTGTTCAAATCCAAAACCAAGTAAAGAAGCAAATTATGATTTTTTTAAAAAATTTTTGTACAATTTCTAAAACAATGTTTTACTGCACTGCTGCAGTCTGATTTATAGAGTAATTCTTTTGTAGAGTCATAGCCCTAATGATGCCAGTTACTTTCCTGTAGGAAGAGGCAGTAACAAAGTTAAACACTGCATCCTGTGTGTAGTCATAGTGAATTTTTTTCAGGTTAATAGACTTATCTTCCTAACAGTAGTGTACATTAACTTGAGCAATCGAGTTAATTTTAAATGAAGGGATCCAACAGAATTTTTCACATGTAATAACAGATTGTTAGACTTTCTGCTATTCAGTATTTTTTTTAATTCTCTGTCTGTCTTCCTCTCCCTCCAGCTGAAGCTGCAGTCACAGCATCCTGTGGGTTGAGATGGAGGGAGGGCCAGAGGGCCAGTGTAGCTGCCAGAGCTACACTTGGAAAAGTCCAGCAGAGGGTGCTGTATGAGTAGGTTGGATGCATTTCAGCTAGCTTTCATCCAGAAACGTACTTAGTTTCAGTTTAGGGCCTGGAGGCAGAATGTGATTAGGAACAACAAATAGGAGAAGATGCCTTTTTGCTTTGCCTCTTGCTGCTGCTCCATAGTCACCTGGCATGCCTGAGCTAAGATGTGTCACTTTGCCTTTTTATTGTAGCCTAACAGGTTGTTTCAGAAAATGATAGTTAGATCAAAGAAGGAGTTTTGTGTACAGCACATAGAACCTGAATCAGAGGAGAACATTTTATTTAAAGAAAAGACACCCACTTACTTTACATCAATCAACTGTTTTCTCTGATCAGGATTATATTAAATCCTCTGATCACATTATATTACATTTCTCTGATCAGATTATATTTAATCCATTTAGGTATCAGGCTAGCTAAAGAGCTATACCAAAGCTAAACAAGAACATTAAAATCTACAAAAAAAAAAGAAAGAAAAGACAATAAACCCAAATCTGAAGCTCTATCCTTTTGCTGCAAGTGCCAAATAACTCAGAAACCACTTTAGTGAAGACAACTTGGGTAGATTAGATAGCTAGAATGGGTGGCTAGATGGGAAAGATGGAAGGGTAGGTGGGAAGAATGAATGGCCAGCTAAATGGATGAATAGGATGGATGCTGAGATATATAATCCATTTTCTTTGTGATGGTCTCTTTTCATGACAGTGAGATTTTTTCCATGGCAACTTATTATGATACCACACAGCCAGGTCCTTATCATACAGTTGCAGAAGAGAAGGAAAACTTGATTTATGCACACACACATACCCCTACCTATCTGTCTACATGTACATACATATATATGTGTGCATATGTCTATGGCTATATTTATATCCAAATGCTCAGCACTTCATAGCAGTTACTTCAATATGAGTACAAAAAGTCAAATTTCCCTTACCATGTATGCCTCTGAGACTGGCTTCATAATATTGTAAGAAAAGATACTTTATTTCAGAAGAATATTCTTTAAATTGCTTAGCTAGTCATATTAATGCCCTTTCCCATCCTCATATGGCACTAGGACACCATCTGTCCAGCTACCTTTATTCTACAGTCCTGCTATTATACAGCTGCCAAGCAAAATCTGGCATCATTTAAACCGCAGGCTGGCTCTTTAACCCAGCAGTCCAGCTTCTGTTAGCAATTGCTTTCTAGTTACCAACTCCCTGTTTTGCAGTTTGACATTGGATTGCCAGGCATGTCTGGTTGAAGGGAGATCCATGTAGGTGCTTGTGCTAGCAAGGTACTTGATGACTTATTTGGTGGTCCTAGAGGCTTACCTCTCTCCACAATGACCTGAATGTCACTTTAATTGTAACCTGCCTGCAAATCTGTTACAGCAATCTACTACTGTATGTGGATTGATTATATTTTGTATTACAGTATCATCAGGCCTAAAGGAGGACTGCTGCCTGTTTAGTCTATCGCCGAATCTCTGAATTAGGCTGAATCTTTTCTGAATCGATTTGGAGGGTTCCAATTCGATTTGGACCTCTTAATTGGTCTCCCAATTTGGATTCAGAGATTTGGCTGCTGAATCGGGTGATATCTTCTCTGAATAGAATCAGCTATCAAAGCTTCGCACAGCCCTATTAGATGATAGAGCCTGGCATTAATGACTGTCTGAAGCAGGGGGGACATCAACATCTCAGCAGCGAATGAGAAATAGTGGGTCATGTGGGACAGGCTTGGAAGGGGAGACCGGCAGTCTGTCTGATGCAACGGAAAAGAGATCTTCCATAGCAGTGCATTTCCATATCTTTTCCGTATCTCCAGACCAGTGTCTGCATTATCTGTAATGATTAATCAGTCACAACTGCAAAGGAAAGGAAGTGTAACAGAGTGCTTGATTCTAGGGCCTGTTGTGCTGAGTCCTTCTGTTTTAGCTGTTAGAGTCCTAGAGCATCTTTGCACGTACTCCAGAGGCAGGGAGGGAAGAGCGCTTTAATTAGAGTGGCTCCAAGATCTGCTCAAATTCAAGTGCCCACAGAGTCTCATGTATTCCATGCTGCAAAATGGCAGTGGGAATGCTTTAACTAAAGTTTGTTCAGTGAGCTTTAGTTGAAGTGCCCCCACTGCCATTTTCAAGTGTGGGGACACTGAATACTGTAGACATGGAGGCTGTTGCAGTGCACTAATTAGCACGCTCCAGCAGACTCGATTAATTGAGTCTGCTTTGACACACTGTAACTGCGGTGAGTTGGAGCAGCATCCCTGTATGTTTACAGCCACCCCTAGTTCAGGAGGCACAGAGGGTGGCTGCTGAGTCACGCTGAGGTTACACAAGTTGCAGTCAGCTCTATTCTAAATATATGAGACGGTTTCTCATCTCTTTCATCAAGGACCCAGCGGTTGGACCAGAAAGGGTTCTAAAAAGGAAGAACCAAAGAACTCGGGACATAGGCTGAAGTTAGTGCCTTTCACTGTTATTTAAACTATCCATAAAGCCAAATCCCAGGGAAGGGATAAAAGTCAGAGTGCTAGTGGCAGGACTGAAGCCTAACTCTGAACTCAGCACAGTGTGGTGGGTACACTGAGCTCGGGCTCAATGTATAATAGAATAATTGTGAACATCACCTATTTCCTTTTATTAAAGTAGATTCTGGGTAAAAAATATGTTTTGAGATTCATTTGAAAGTCACTTTGGATCAAATGTGGATGTTGTTTTGTACAGGATAAATCTCTTAAAAATTGGACTGCACAACAGGAAGTGAAGCTGGAAATAATGTGTACTATGATGCTTGTCTGCTGTCACCACATCAAAAACAAATGCTCTTTCTGTGACCATAGAATATAAAACTTAACAAGGACCAAAGCTCTTTTGCTGTATTGCCCTTTCATAATTTCTACATGATTGTCTTGTTTGGGACTGTAATTAAAACAGTCAATTAAGTGCATAGAGGTAGTACAAAAATGCTGTCTTATCTTAACTTCAGAGTGCTGAATTCCAACATAACAACCATTACACCAGCCTGTATTCTGCCTTATCCCACCACACCATAACTTACCTTGCCTATTTCTTGCCACCAGGCAGAGTTTGTTATGACCAAGTGATTGTTATGCTATTGTACATGGCTGAGTGCAACCTCTCAGTGAAAATGGTATCAGAATAAAGCCTTATAATTTAAAACAGGGCCAAGTCCCATAACCACATTTCATTGAAATAGAAATTGTATTTTTATGCTTGGGATGGTATCTATTTCCCCCCCACCCCAAAATAAATAATAATTAATTATTAACTGTTTTGCATTCTTACAAACCAGAGCCTACCATTATACAATATTTAAAAACTGTCGTTGACAAACAGCTGTATATTAGCACAGAACAGAGATTGTTCTACACTGATTTCTACCATAAGTAAATCAAGAGTCTTCCTTCTGCCAATTGCCAGCAGGAAATCTGAGGCTCATAACATATGCTGCTCCTTGTTTCTCTGACTAAACACCTCATTTTGTTGGGACACTACTGTCCCTGAGTAGATTTATGGCACATCTGTTCCTGTGCAGGCTTATTTTGTTTCCTTGACTAGAAGCAATCTGCTGTTTGACTAGGGGACAGAGATGCTGAGGCAGGTTTATGAAGATGTGTCATTTTGACATATATTTAGGCAAAGGGAATTGCTACCCACTTTGTTGTTTAGTGCTGTCAATTTGTAGGGTTTTCTTATACTGTTTGTGCATTTCCTGGTTTTCATTCAGATTTTCGGGCCACACTTTCCAAACATGGGGGACTAAAGCCTAAATATAGTGCTTATTAAAGTACTTGGCTTTCACAGGCACTGAAAATCTTTAAAGCCCCTTATGTGGGTATCTACATTTTAAATTACGTTTCTAAGGTTGGGCACTTTTACATTTGAAAACCAGTTGACTGGACTGGGTTAACCCATTCCAGTCCTGCCTATTCCTTTCCCTAACAAGTGCCTGGAAAGTCCCCTTCTCTTCAAGGCTGCTCTCCTCACACTTTGTATTTCCTGGTCACCCTCTGTGCTGCCCTGGCTGAGGCATCTGCAGTGCTGAGCCATAGCAAATACCATCCAATGTGGTCCTTTTGTTTGGACATGGAGTTCAGGCAGGACTGGCCTGGTAGGATGTGGGAGGCACTGAAACAGATCAAAAGCTGCCTGTCAAAGCAGAACTGAAGCCACCCCTGCTTGGATTCAGATGCCAGCTTTTCTCCAGATAATTTATATCTGATTTGAATGGCCTATATTGCATTGCAAAGTGATTTTTTTTTCCAGGAAAGTCTGCAACTCAGCAGCCTCAGTACGGGGACCCATGTAATTTTATAACACAGGCTGCAAATCACTCCTTTCGCCTCCCAATTTTCAGCCCCGTTAAGCCCCTAGTCATCTTACCAGCAGCATCTATTTAAAGAAGAGGCTTATACAATACACACTGACTGATTCATCCAAGCAGGGATGATGGCTTTGTGTTTCAAAAATATATTAAAGGGCACACTATGGCATTGTGTTCCCCAGAAAAGGAAACCACCTGCTTCAACACCAACAGAAAAATGTGATGCACCTATGAAATGGAACAGAAATATTGTGCAGGATCAGGAGAGTGAAAATCAGCTTGATCAAGTTTGGGGCTGCTTGTTACCCTTGCATGATAGCCACAGCCTGGTGGCTAGTGGTTCACCCTAAAGGACTATTTTCCAGAACACGCAGTGATGTGGTGACATGCTCTGTTATGGCTCCTTGGGCTTCATGTTGTCCTTGAGTTCATGATGGGGGTGCAAATCCCATACTGACTGATTCTGTGGTTCTCTATATGCTCCTGCTGACCCCCATGGTAAGTCCTAGGAAGAAGAAGTGGTAAGGAACTCTGCAGAGTCCTGCTGCTGTAATTCTGGACTGAAAATCACAGAGACGTTAGGGCCAGCAGGAAGAGGAAGTGAACACACAGCCAGAGAGCTGTGTTCTAGCACCCCCAGCTTCTGGCCTGAGCCACAGCAGGCATGTGGCTGCATTGCCTGAATCAAAGGTAAAAGTCTGTTTACTTCTGTTTCAATTTAATCTATGCAGTTTAAACTACCTTGAAAAGACTGAATCAATTCAGCCTCAGGCTTTTTGACTGTCTATACCTAGCCAAAGTGACCAAGATCTAGAATCTGGGTTTTCAGCTCCTTGGGTAAGTAGAATCATAGAAAAAGTTGGAAGGGACTTCAGGAGGTCATCTAGTCTAACCTCCTGCTCAAAGCAGGACCATCCCCAACTAGATCATCCCAGCCAAAGCTCTGTCTAGCCAGGTTTTGAAAACCCCCAAGGATGGAGCTTCTATCACTCTCTTGGTAACCTGTTCCAGTGTTTTCTACCCTCCTAGTGAGGAAATTCCTTCTGACATCCAACCTAAACTTCCCTTGCTGCAACTTGAGACCATTGTTCCTTGTTCTGTCATTTGCCACCACTGAGAATAGCCTAGCTCCATCTTCTTTTGAACCCTCCTTCAGGTAGTTGAAGACTGCTATTAAGTCTCCTCTCAGTCTCCTCTTCTCTAGACTAAATAGGCCCAGTTCCTCCAGTCTTTCCTTGTAAGCCCCCTAACCTTTTTTGTTCACCTCCACTGGCCTCTCTCCAATTTGTCCACATCCTTT